ACCCCAGCCCCATCCTGCAGGCTCTGTCCTTGCTGCAGTCCCCCCAGCCTGGGCACCGTCACCCGCAGCCCCCGACCATGTCTGTGTCGAGCCCCTCGGATGGAGAAAGCAGCCCCCACCCGCTGCCGGGCCCCCCGGTCCCCGGAGGGGAGGACACAGAGCCCGGGGAGGAGAAGGTCTGCGCCGTGTGCGGGGACCGCGCCACTGGGTACCACTTCCACGTCATGACCTGCGAGGGCTGCAAGGGCTTCTTCAGGTGGGGTCTGCCACCGTGGGGGGACCGGGGCTGCGCCGGGGCACCAGGTGGGAGACGGGAGGCAGGGTGCAATGGGACAGGGTGGGGTGCGATGGGATGGAGCAGAGGGGACAAGATGGGATGGGGCAGGACAGGACGGGAAAGGACAATGTGGGATGGGATGGGACAGGACGAGGTGGGCTGAAATGGGATGGGGTGGGAGAAGGCGACAGGGCAGGATGGGACAGAACAGGGTAAGATGGGCTGAAGTGGGACAGGACAGGATGGGATGGGACAAGATGGGATGAAATGGGACGGGATGGGACAAGAGGACAGGGCAGGATGGGATGGGATGGAATAGGATGAGACAGGAGTGGGACAAGACGGGAGGGCTGCTGCCACCCCATGCCCAGCGTCTCCAGGGCACAGTGATGACAGGGTCCCGGGGGCCAGAGGTGGCCCCTGCCCTGGGACATCCTTGTCCCCCAGCCCCTGCAGCCCTTCTGTCCCCCCAGCGACACACAGTGACAGCCCGCGGGGTCTCACGGCTCCCGTGTCCCCCCAGGCGCTCCATCAACAAGGGCGTCCGCTTCACCTGCCCCTTCGCCCGGAGCTGCCCCGTCACCAAGGCCAAGCGGCGGCAGTGCCAGGCCTGCCGCCTCCAGAAGTGCCTCAACGTGGGCATGCGGAAGGACAGTGAGTGCAGTGGCACAGGGACAGCGGGGGGGACACTGGGGAGAAGGGATGGGGGGACACAAGGGAGACCTGGAGAGGACAAGGGGGATGTGGAGCAGCAGGGAGAGGGAGGACCTG